CGACACGCCGCAATGACAGTTCTTTACGCCGCCGCACCACCAGCCGCCGATGTGAGCGCCATCTGCCCAGTGACGGACAATGTGTGCACTACTAGTAGCACTACGCCTTGTGACATGTGACGTCACGTGACGCTAACGTAGCGCTCTTCAAGTGTTTTATGCGTCGTCCATTCTTCATTACTATGAATATGTGTAGTATGAATATCGCAAACTGTGTAAGCTTCCTACACTTTAATGTCATAGTATGTATTTTTTTCTCTATATGGTCCAAGTACAAAAGTATATAATTTGTAGCAATGCACATATTCATAATTGTGAAGGCGTATACAAGTTGCACGTAAATGTTAGACTAGTTAGAGTAACTGCAGTACGTTGTAAGATTGTTGGAAATTAAAAAATACCGATCACTAGTGAGGAGCTTCTGTGCTCCACAGCGCGGCATGGACTGCATACATCACAGTTTTATACTGAACTACCAAAGTTTTTAGTTACAAATCACTTTAATGCAAGCGAAAGTAGAAAAATAAATGTATTCGTATTATATAATTTAAGCCACAATCGTTCCTTCTGGATAAGGCGAAAAATCACCAGAATCAAAAGGTATAACAAAATCTTAGTACATGATTTAAGTACACATTTTATAATCGCCATATATGTATACGCTATGTACAGTTGTATGTTCCCTAAATATAAGTGGTATAAATAAGTTTTTACAAACACTATGTACAAAGTGTCGTGCGAAATGAAGCACAATAGTACAAAATGTTTTAATTAGCACGGACAGTAGTCGCTGAGAGCCGCCGCACCCACACGTAGAGCACGACGACACGGCGACACGCCGTTATAACATAGCAGAACTAAAATATACTTTGTAACATATTTTAAGTCAATTTTTGTAAGTTCCATAAAGTTAAGATTTCATACGCGACTCGGAATGCATTCCCCGATATCTTCCAATAATTTATGCATTTTATTATATTTACTGTATTGTGTCATAAATAGAATGTTTTTATTCATGTTTAAATTATGAATTATATTGTTCATAAGATTTTCTCCTCCGTGAGGACGTCGCGGCTGTACTTTTAGTGCCGATTCGCGTTTTGATCCAACACTCAACATATGGAGGATTCGCCAGACGTTTTACTAATAAATATAGGAAATTTTGTATATTTTTCATAAAAGGTTATTTCTAGAAACAGGGCTTCTGATAACTCTTCCATTGTTGTTGACGTAGTGACGTGTGCGTGAGTGAGTGACTGAATGAGCGAGTGAGTGAGTGAATGAGACGTGTGATATACTCGTAGATAGTAATTGTTCATCTTTAAAGGAATACATATTTACACATTTTGACGACACAAGCGACAGCTCGGTGCTGCCTCCACTGTTGCGCCGAACAAATCTGTTTAGTGTACGTTAAAAGTATATTTATAGGTAATAATAGTTAATAAAATATTACTGTTTATTTTTCTATTGATCTTCCGCAATCACTGTTTTGTACTCGCCAACCATTGTTATACTTGCGTTGTTTACGTGTCGACAAACGTTGTGTTGTTTTCCCCGAGAGAGAATATTCTAGAAACCCTAATAGAGATTTACTAGTAAATGAGTATTTTTTATAAGAATTTGTCACTACCCTACAGTTTAACTAAAAGTTCATTATTATGTAAGGCGAGAACACACTACAGCAATTGTCGCCACACATGTCGACCAGGTGATATTTAATTTTTTTACAGTTTTTATATTTCCATTGGCATTTATTGTTTAACAAGTGTATGATATTTTTGTAAACGATCACAATGAGTTAAAACTTTTGAATGTGTGTAAATAAAACAAGCTTTAACATTAAGTACGTTACGATAATGTAGTGAATTGTTACGAATTGTAAATTTGTTGTAGGTTTAAGGCATATTGAGATTCGGCTTCCTAAACCTTCGATGCCAATTTATTTTGTAGTAGGTGCAAACGAAACAAATATTTACCTGCACTTTCTACAGTTATTTACTCTGTGTATAGAAATTATTCAATTCATGAACAGTAACAATACTTGCGACACTTTGTTGAAATATTGATGACCAGTTTGTATAATTGGACATTGATACAATGGGTTTCCATTGCCGAAACACAACAGTGGAAATCCGAAATGTTAAGGTGAATATATGAAAATGTATGAGTACTATTTTTACGTCGAACCTAACACTACAACTGGTTTTGACCTTTACTGAAACAGTTTTATGGTTCCATCGAATATCATCATTTTATAAAAACTCCGCAATAAAAAATGTTTTTATATTTGTAGGCGTATATGTAGTGCACAAAATCACCGAAGCGAAGTGTCGCGACACTCGTACGGTTCACTAACTGTGTAATGTTCTTGTACCTGTATATTTTATTATAACATTTCTGTTCGTTTTATTAAAATTATACGTTATTCCGATGTTAATAACATTTTTAGACAACTTTTTTCATACTTTTTGTAAAGATGCAATCGTCAGAGAACACGCGCTCGCCAATGTGTCAAATTATAGTACGTTTCAAATAAAAAAAATACGTTAAAACAACGCTATAAAAGTACTAAAGTAAAAAAAAGTTGTGATTGTTCTCTGAATTTAGTAATTTATCATAAAATCAGAACTGTATTCCTGATCCTACTCTACTGTATGCTGGTGACGTCTGCTCCAGTCAGTGGCTTCGAATGCAAGCTTCCGCCATGACAGTAGACAGGTGTTGCCATTCACTACAGTTACCTTTTTTAATTCTGACGTCACATTTTAGTTAATACACAATTTTGTTTATTTGAAACGTATTGTACGTTCGCTTTAAGTATCCAGATGTGTTTTGTGAATATTTAGTGTAATAAATCCATTTTGTACACGTTGCAAGTTACATCGAGCAAGCGACAGCCAAAACCTGAGCGAGCGGACTTCAGTCAATTGCATCAAAGCCACAGGCACACATATTATTAACCTCGATACAAAATATAAACACTGTTAAATTTATTTTGTGTTTCATTGAATATAACATTTACAGAAATAAAATTTAAAATATAAAACATTAAATATGCCGAGTCTCGCTTCTTCTACAAAAATGGGTTAGTTGTCATGTATAACCTAGTAATTTGAGTTAGTGTCTATGTTTATGAAGCCTTAGCAATTTACACGGTGCCATCAATTCGAAAGAATACCACATGCTGTTTATCCCATTTTTATCTAAACCAAAGCAAAGCTCTCGAGAATGACATATTAATTTAACGAAGAAACTTCATAAACTAATGCACGCATTTGTTCTAAAAAGTGACAATTTCAACTAGCTATTATTTTTAAACTACTGGCTATAATTAAATGAAATATTACAGTATATCGAATTCTGATGTCTGTAGATGTTCTATTTCAACCTTCTATGTTTATCTGCAACGAAGTTATAGGGGTGTAAAAAAAGTGCCCTTAAGCGATTCGAAAAGAGTGGCAGTGCTCGCGCCAGTGGGTGCACTGCCGTGCAATGCAACTTATTGTATGGATGGATTGGTAAAGTACATATTTAGTAAAAATAAAAACATTACTTATTTGTGATAGTTTATTTTAATTAATCTTTCGTATGGATGTATCATATCTAAATAGAAGTACAATTTCTCTCTGAAACAGATATTGCTAATCCAATTACAATAAAATAATATTGTAGTCACTAGGTCGGTTACCTTACATTATATACAAGCTAAAAAATACGTAATCAATTATAATACTACAAAGAAATCTCAAATGTTCTAATTGACTATCGTTGGGTGTGGACTGGAAACAAATCCAGAAACTAAACTACATACTTCTTCCTTCCTACCGTTTGCCTCGCAACCCTCCGCAATGTAAACTCCTCATATAAATTCATTTTAAATAAACATTTACATATACAAACAGGTGTACAAAATTGTCAACACATTACGACTTAAATACGTATGTACAATAAAAACCATCGAGGAGCTGCAACAAGCTGGCCGCGGCGCGTTGCCGCTTCATTTGCCACATTGTATAGTTTTGGCACAAACGTGCTTATAATAAATTTGTATTTACATAAAAAACTTCACATTCTCTTATTGCTTTATGTTGATTGTAAACGGGATCAGCACTTACATTAATATTAAATTCATAAAAGTAACAAATAATCTATTTCTAAATATATGTTACGTACTAAATGTAAACGTGTTACACACAATTTATGACGGATGACTCGAGAAGAGCGATAGGAATGATTCTTATAAAAGGATAGAAATAGAATAAAGATTCATTCTTTGGAATGTAATGAAGCTTAATATTTCATAGCGTGAAGCGAAGAGTTCAATGGATATGTTCGATTACTCATTAAGGTCCACGCAAAGGCACCGCCCACGTCGCACTCTTGGTCCTCCCTGTTAATAAACCTCTAACATACAAAATACAAACGTAATTCAATATAAATTTCTTACAAATGGCACACAATATAATTTAATTTTTAAATAATAATTTATCGATCTCAATGTGCCATCACAATTTCTAGATAATATAAAATATTTTTGAATGAATCAAATTCTATACGCGGTAGCTGCTACATGTGCACTAGCTGCTAAGGCGACCTCTACATCTAGTCTTTCTAACATTATCACTAAAATACATTTTAAAACCGTTACTTATATTCTAAAATCGTGTTGTAAATTGGTGCTATGTTCATTTGAAGGCAATCTCGTGAACTTAGTCCCGGAGCGCGGGAAGCTCTGTCGGCGACTGGACCGACCTCCGGATAAAAGGAATCACAAAATACAGTAACTGAAAGCTGCTTCAGTGACGTTATCAGATATAAATAACTTGCATACATTAAGTTCGTTTATAAAGACTCTCTTATAAATAATATTCAATACTTCGTATGTCGATGATTTAAGTAGTTATGTTGAGGAGTAGGCGCGTGCCGGTCAGTGCACCGCGTCAATGTCTCGCTGCGCTCGCGATATTTTCACCTTTAACAGAAAAGATTATTTAAAATGAAGTTTTTATATTCCCTCGCTAAAACGCACACTAGTGGTCGAAGCAAGTGGCTTATCTAATATGGCGTCGCTATGTTGACAATACACAGTTCATTTACGTTAATTTATATAGAAATACACTCTTGAAGTATTTTGCTGTAAACACGATATCAAAACTAACTTTAAAATAAAAAAATAATGAATAGAATTATTAATTACCACTTATTTGTACCAGGAATAATAAAAATTAATCGATTTTTGACTTTTTGACCTTGAGCAGCAACGAGATACTTTGTTGTTTTATACATCGAAGTGACATCTGAGAGTATGTTATGAATGGAATATCACAATTGACGTCTCGTGTCTCATGACAAGTCCGATCGCGTTTTAGTCGCTCGAAAATGGTCGTAATTTTGTTTTATTGTTTTTAGCTCAATGGTTGAATATTTTCGCGTCAATTTTTTTTCTGGTTATTTCATAACAAGTAGAAACGTTTAAAAAAAGAAAAAAAAATACATGCATATTTCCTATTGTTGTATATTAGTTTATATACCTTGTCCTTGGGCGTGGAGCGGTCGCCGGCCTCGAGAGCGAACATTTTCATCTTCTCCTTGAAGGAGAGCGTCTCTGGCACCGCGGCCGGCGCCGCGCGCGCCTGCTGCTCCGCCAGCCGCCGCGCCCGCGGGTCTCTGCACAACGCAACGGATTACCATTCATTATCAAAACAATTCAGTTACATTGGCGGAATACATTGTGATAGTTGATAACAATATCGTGTTTGTATCGGTGTGTACACGGATGTGTTGTCAAGTAGCAGACATTGCCTGTACCTGTAGACCTCCTGTGCGCCGATGACGCCGGGCGTGTGCGCGAGCGGCG